TATATATAGTACAGTGATTATTTTGTATTATAAGAGGGGGGGGGTGTATTTTTTATTCAGTCATTAAAATATAAACACAATTATAACTTTTTTAAAGCAAATATATGGATAAATGACAACTCTGTTTTGTGAAAACTTGAATAACCGACATTTGCCATTATTCCTCCAATCAGAATAGGAGAATGAGGTTTGCGTGTTACAAGTTGGATTGGACGTTTCTATTATTTTCTAGGGGTGTTCAGGTTGGAGGAAAAAAACTTTATTTATTCAAAAATTCACTCAGAATACCAACCAATTTATCAATATTCATATAATATTTTTTTACTTGTCCACATTGTAAATTGGCCTTTTTTAATATCATGTAAATACAGTAATAGTTCAAACAGTGCGTATATTATAGTCAATAAAGAAGAGTATTTTTGTAGGTGATTTTGCTTTGGAAGTGCCTCCCATCCAGAACAGCATTTTGACAAGTTTTACTTATTTATTTTCATAAAAGTAATAATGAATATAATATTAAATGAAATGAGAATGAATTTAGTAACTTTGTGCAAGAGGTTATTAATTCAGGACAGTGTGTAGCTTTTTTAAAAAAATGAATTAAGCATTGAATAATATTTATTTTTATTCTGCAGTTTTTTTTAATTATCAGTCCAGTCAGACGTTTTTTCATTTACTGGTGGATCTCCCTCACCCCACTCCCCGACAGCAGCCAAAAGAATCACTAACCAGGTGTGGAAATAATAAGCCAATTCATAGTGTGAACTGCGCATTGTGCATATCCTGTAATATACGATGTCAATCGACATAAACCTATGTTGTGTGTATGACCAAAGAGTATAAAACTGCAAGAGGTCCCACTGCCGGGGATTCTTTGGAACGCAGTCCGATTTCAAAAAGTACTACCCAAAAGGGGCGTGGCCTTAACAGACGTTCGATGGTCGAACGTGTGTTGCGTGCATGTTCGATTTTCGAACTCTATTCGAATTCGAATAGGGCGCCCCTATTTCTTGGTAGTACTTTTTAAACGTTCCATTGCCTGCATACAAAATCATAGCAGTTGGACCTCTTGCAGTTTTATACTCTTTTGTATGACGTTTATGTCGATTGACCTTGATACAGGCATGCTTATTAGATATGAGATTAAAATGGTTGAACCTCTGAAGCTTCCAGGGAGAAAAGCCTATGGACCACCACAATAAATAGATAGTTCCGCCCCTTTAGACCATAGGTACACAATTGTCACTCATGCCCAGGCAAAAAATATCAGGATCCGCTACTTTATTTAATAATTATGTTATTAAAACATAGTGACCTTGCATTAATAGTTTTATTGTATAGTCATACAACATAAGATTGAAATGAAGATGTTTGTTTTGCAAAAAAATGTAGTGTGTTCTATTAGCCTATTTCTAGCCTCAATTACATATGTTTTGCAACCTTTACAAAAACATAATGGAATATGGTTACATCAATGATCCCTATTCATACTTTTTACAGCTTAACTTTTTTAGCACAGATCTCCTTAATTTTACAGGGTTTTTATACTTTTGACCAGGAAGCAGTCATTATTAAAATATGACTGCTCCCTGGTGGAACAAGTATCCATATTTGTCAAATGATCCTAAGTTGGGGAAAGGTACTGTAAATTGTGTTTACTGTGCCTTTGTGGGGGTGTAAGAGAAGAGTACTTTTATGGTCAATTAAGCTCTGGCCAGACTTCCAAAAAACTCATAAGGTCAGTAAGGCAAGTCCCCTCGAGCTGGGTTTTCACTTGAAATGTGGCTTCGGTCAAACCAAAGAAACCCACTGATTACTGCCCTCATTAAATTAATTGCTAAACCAAAAAAAGAAATTCATATTAACGTTTTTGTAAGGCTCTAAATTTGCGACTGTAAATGCATTTGTTTTATACACTTAACAAGAGCAAGTAATAATCTTTGTCTGCAATTAAAGTGTTCTTAACTTGCATGTGATTTGCCCATATATGGCTATATATGATGATTGGTTGAATCCAGTTGAGGATACGGGCAGGCCCCCCCCCCCCCAATCCGCCCCTGAATACGAGAACTTGTTACCCTTAGCGGTCGGAGGGAAGCGTAACACGTAGTTGAGTAGTTAAGGGCCAAAAAGTCAAGATGTGCACTTTTATTACCAAAACATTACGCTTGGCATAAATATCTTTGATATATGTAGATTAAAATAAAGTTGTGAGCCAAGTTTCTCAGTCTCACGTCTACTACGGTCCTTGTTATTTTGAATTAAAATGGCCGTCTGGAATCTTCTTTTTTAACTTTTACTTTTTTATTTTGTGACAACATTCCGCTTTTCATATTTAAGATCAGGCTTAAGGCATACTAAGATAAAGGAATAAAGGGGTTTTTACTACCTGCGAAGCGGGCGGCTCTAGTAGTCGTACGGTACATGAATATTAAGATGATATACTAAATGTTTGAATTTCGTAAATTTTGGCTCAGAGCTATGAATGAAATTATCTGCAAATCATCCATCCAATCGGAAAAAAAATCGTCTTGTAAAATATAATTAGCCAACTAAAATACTGTACTTAACAACTTGAGTTAAAATGTTTTAAACAAACAAAAGTTCGTTATAGATTGTTTGTCACGTTCGGCATTGTATCCTCCTACTTTTGTACAAGATAGATCAGCTTTTCTGTAATTGCCTGCTACCACCAATGTCTTTGCTTTACCTTTCAATTGCTCTCCACAAGCCTTGGCTAAACAAGAAAGATCTGTTCAATATGGAACAAACTCAAAATGCCACATACATTCTTTCTCCGTCCTAAATTTCTTGTTACAGATATTTCTCGACACTTGTGAAGAGGTGGTCTCCAAAAAATGGATGTTACCCAAATTTATGAAATAATTCAGGTTTTTAAGGCACACCCCAACAATTTGTTTCCCTTTCATTTGTAAATGTTGACGTGTTGTCTGCTCATATAAAATATCTATCTCAAACCATATCTATAAGAAATGCCTAAAAATAAAAATAAAAAAACAATTAACCATTGCGATTGCATACCGTAGTTGATAATAAAGTGCTTATAGAAGCTTAACGAGACAACTACTTTAGACACCATTCGGCTAGAATCCATAGTAAGCGTACTATACTAAAATGATTGATTAAAAAATACCGGGGGCATGTTGTGGCAAAATGGCTAAGTTGTCCCAAAAATTTAAATTCAAGTTATTAGTATTTGCAGATACCTGAGTATCTGATCTTTAAAATTAGTGGTCATTTATTGAAATTGGACATTTCGAGCCTAAGTTATTGGAAAGTGAAAGTACAGCACTCTTAGAGTAAAGATAAACATGGTTTTGAGTAATTGCCTTCCAAAGCTATTTGTGCATACTTTGTTTAATAGAATTAACTATCTAATATTAAATAAACGATTTGTTGACCACTTCCAGAACTAATATTAAGACATTAAACAGTTGATCTATAGTGAAAAAAAAGGTTTTTAAGCAATTTTTTGAGTTTCCATATTTTATAGCTCATTTACTCAATACTGGCCTGTTTGACAACTTAGCCATTTTGCCTTTATCGAGGTTTTTTTATATTTATTTTTTATTTTTTATTATCAATATCATAATTATTCATTGTCAACTGGCACCAACGACACAAGCACCACTAATTTACAGAACCTAATTATCCCTTTACAAAAACATTTCAATTTTTTATTGAAAATATAAATCATGATTGGTTTGCAACAAGCTGACAACTCCGGAACCAGGCTTCGTAGGAAAACAATATTTTTATATGTTGTACAACATATTTTTTTTCTATGACTCAAAAAGGGTGTTTGACGAAAATCTTTGGAGCGGTTAATGAGATACAAATATTTTAATATTTAAAAAAGGAGGGAAAAACTACTCTCTTTT